TTCTGAATCTTTGACATCATGTGATCAAAGCAAAGTATTGGTCACGGAGATACTAAAACACTCATCTTGGCTTGGAAAAGGGGGTCACAGGGTATGAAAGAGGCACCCTGTTATCCCCTATCAACACACCCCTGCTCTAGTAGATACTTTTTTCATGTGCGTATGAAAACCACTGCCACGAAAAGAGCCGCAAGCTCAGAGTTTACTAAAGTTAGTGTGAATGTAATAATAAATAAATAAATCGACAATGATTATAAATTATAAATTGAGAATTTATTGTTATACAATGATTATTATTCATAACCTAATTAACACTATATTTACATAAAATAACATAACATAACATAAAAATTGAGAATTTATTGTTATACAATGATTATTATTCATAACCTAATTAACACTATATTTGACATTAGAACTACACCTGTACGATAAAATCTCCCTGTTTATCAGGGTGGAAATATGACTTTGCAAAAGAAAATTGAAAAAAAATTTTTTTTTTGCTACAGACTAAATTCATCCTCTTAGCAATACTTCATATTAATCTTAGCCATAGTYATCAATGTGTCATTCAGAAATGATTGGTTGTATGAACAAAACATCTTGTATGAGGGTTAGAGTCAACATGATTGCCACAATAACCGATATCATAGACACAAAGTATCGCTAAATCATTACAAACTACAGAAAGAACAAAGATGCCCTTTCGGCATATCCAATATCTCTTGACTTTTCTAGCATTCTATAGAAATGAAACTTTTGGAGATATAGAGAAGATGTCTTTTCAAATTTGACTAAAATAACTATTGGTATTCAAGGACCTTTTGGATGATTTTATATTTTTAGTAGTTGATCGATGCACTGTTTGAGTTTGCCTTAACTTAACCCTGCTTAAAGAAATAAAGATAGTTCTMAWGAATGTGTTATTTRATAAAAGCYGCTATAACACACCACATCATTTCATTGGTCTGTGGCTTCTGAGACTCCATTTCAGGATCTACATCTAACAGTTCACGTACTCTCTTCATTGCAAGTTCATAGTCGTCATCCGAAAGGGCAGCAAAAGCATTCTCCAGAACATCTGATGAGTGTGCCAGGTAAATTAGAGATAGGCAGCGTTTGTCCATTCTATGTGGGTCATTGACCCACTTCAAAAGCATGGCATCCTGTACCTTCTTTACTACACGTTGCTTCACTGTTGAATCTATCACAGGATGTGTTGTCATATCAAAAAGAAGAAAATTCTGCTTCTCTGTTGTTAAGACACCCTTCTCTACAAGATTCTTTGCCAGTCGTTCACGGACATTTCGAAGTTGATACCTTAATTTCAAGGGGTTCCATGTTTCTCCTGCAACACAAATAAAAGATAATATATATCACAAAATATAATGGGAATAATGAATAAGATTCAGTAATATATACAAAACTTTTAGTTCAATATTTAAATTATGAATTGCTCCTATTAAATTGAGCACTACGAAAAAAGTCATTTGCAAAAATTATGACCTCAAAGAGAAATCATGGCTATTTCACTGGTGATTCTATGTGTTTTGCACTTTAATTTCTCAGTAAATAAAATCACATCATATCACAGTATGCTTATTAGGGCAATTCAAGTATATTCTGCAGTGTAGTGATAAATCGAAGGCTTATTTTTGAAGCATCAGTCACCTTTTTTGATATATTTATTATGATATCAGTTTGAAATTCTCCAAATCACTTAATAAACGTTTTTACATAAATATGATTAAATATCAAAAAAAAGATCAAGGCAAATAAGATGAATGCAATATTGTCATGTTTCTGTGACTTTTAAAATTTCCATGGAGTTTCTTATTCAGGTCACTTAGGTGGAGCATTTCACTGTCAATGTCTTTACTTAAGTCACTTTTATTTATGGGAGCTTTTCTCACAATTCCTATTAGAAAAACTGCCTTCACATGTACTACAATAGTTTTACATCATCAGAATTTTGTACAAGACATATTGTCTGAAAACAAATTCACTATATTCAAATCAGTATCTAAAATTAACATAGACAACACACAATTTACACATCGATGCAAATTTAGATAAAAAATCACTACAGCTAAGAGTACGTCGTCGAAATAATAATTATTTTGCATTTTATATCTAAATATTACAGATTTAAATATTCTTATAGATACAACATTAATATACAAATTCAATAATTGTTAAAACTGCCTTTAAATTAAGTCGACGTGTACATTCATTATTTCAAAATAAATAGAATGGTACCCACCACTGAGTAGTTCTATCCAGTTCTGAACTGTTTCTGGAGGGTCGGTTTCTTTAATATGCTTTAAAGCTTCGTCTAATAGAACATCTCCCGTAGGACTGTCGCTTTTAAATATGACTTTCCTGTTAAGTAAACTACGTCGCCTCATGCCAGTTTTCTCTAGCTCRATACGACCTCTCAATCCAAGCTCGATCATCATACATCCTCGAAGACCAGATGATATACAGTCATTCCAGAACGACGTGTAGCCCTGTGTTTATACAGAAGAAACATCAAGAACAATACCCTAAAATGAAGCATAGTCTACTAACATAAATGTATAAATACCTCTCTATCTTTCAGACCAATCAGCAAAACTTCTTCCATTAAWGTCAGTCTGACCTCTTTCTTGTCGCCCGCCTCATCGCTATCGTAACCTTCTAGCTTTTCAATATCTGGATTWTCGTCGGGATTTTTCTCAGAATGAGTTGTGCTGCGTTGGACTAGCTGGCCTGATCTTCGWGTAGCCATGTCCCGCAACTTTTATGAGGTTTTAACCAGCGAATTRAGAATTATTCCTTGGAGTTAACCATCTAATTCAATACTAACCAAAATGGCTGCCACTGAGAGTCGTATGACGACGAGAACAATGCATCATGGGACTGGTGAGTTGGCTTCCATACATAGGAAGCCCAAAAGATCATGCCATATAAATATTTTTTAAGTCATTTATGATACATTTATGAGCTATAAAGATTGAGATGCTGTTGAGCACCCTATTGTTCTTGTATATGCTCTAAGAAATAAATCGAAAAATCAAAGAAAATGTGAAAGAAAAAAAATTACCCACACTACCGTTGTCCCGGGCGTTGTACGCCAAAAAATCTATCAACCGGACCATTTTATTCACTTCGCAAAAATGCTTTTTTTAATACAGAGAATTGAAAACAAGTCGAATGGATGTTCAAGAGAATGGAATAATTGAAGAAAAAATGTAAGGAAAACATCGGTTGGTCTACGTCACGTGCATAAAGCCACATATAGAATTTTTTTTCCTTCTTCTTCTTTTTTGTTGTTGTTATTTTTTTAAGCAAGTATCTTTCCAATAAATGCACAAATCTGTTCCCTATTTATTTTGGATTAGCTATTATACATAAGTTAGGTATGTGATTCCGGTATGCGAATTGTGATTGGTGTATCAAACAATAGCTTTGGTTTTATTGACATAGTACAGTCGTACCCCGTTGAAAAGACAACTTGACATGCTGAAACCACTTCTTCTCCAAACAACGTCTTCACCAAACTAAAAGCGTCTGCGCTCTTAAACAAGCTAAATTGTTCTTCTTCGACGCATCAAGGATGGAAACTGAGGACTCAGTAATTCAATTAGCCTCTTGGTGAGTAGTTTTGGACGTCGGTCGGTGAGAGTATTCGGCTTTTGGACATTTGACCGCATCCTGAGTTTGCGCCACTCCACCAAGTTATTAGAGAGCTTTGTGACAGCGAAGATTATATTTTCTTTTTCGTGTTATCATCGGTTTTAACTCATTTAGCTGATCCTGGAGTTTATGATGTAATTGATTACATACAACTTGTTTCAATTTGGGACAAGTCGCGCTTAATGACCTTCACTACTGGTATTCAAAATTCTATCAACCTAAATGAAGCCATTAGTGTTTTAGCAGTCGAAAAAAATACCTAAAAGCTTTTGTATTTAATACGCCATTGATATAATTGATTTCAATGAAGGTACTTTATTAGCCGACATTGCTAACAAAATGCTGGTTCATCGTAATCTTCTAATGCTCAAAGACTTTCATCTCCAATGCAAATTAACTTAACATAGTGACCAATAGGTTCAGTTATAGAAACATGATATACATTGGTGTGCACAAGCACGGCAACCACAGCAACGACAGCATTCAGCAACTTGAACAACTTGAACAACACTTACTTTTTTATAACGACAGCTTGGTCTACTTACAACAAGATATAGTTCAGACAGCATAAAATTGTGTAAAAACACTGAGTGTCTTCTTGAGGAATTTGAAGAGCATCGCTTTAGACAAAATTTATTAAAGTGACGGAACCTACTTTTGAAGTGACGTCCATGTACTAGTACGCACTTGATATTTCTAAAGTGCAAGGCTTTGAAATAAAAGCGTGTACGGATTTTAAATAAAAACGGCTTTTACCCAATTAAACAAAGTAAAATCTACAATATACCGGAACAGCAAAGAAATCGGTGATTGTTCTAGTTTCCTGGGAGCGGAAAAAAGTAAAATTGTTGCTACTCCGTTAGGGGCCTGAGTCGAGCGTGCGTCGTCTTCATTTTGAAAACAAAGTCTCCTTGATGGCCGCTGCCTGCGTTCTCCTTTGAGCTCTATTTACTCTTCATATTTGTTGATGGGGTAATCCATTTTTTTCACAGAGATTAAGACACCTTTTATTGTCAACAGTTTGTTATTTTTATTGTTTTCTTTGTAGGGAGCTGCCAGTTTTTTCGTCGAAAGCACATGTCTTTCAAATCGACCCAGCGACGAAGAAAAGCTGGATACCTTGCTCTAAACAGGCTGTTACCGTCTCATTTTATTATGACAAGACTAAGGAAACACATCGTATTATTTCTGTGGATGGAACCAAGGTAAATTATGAGTAATTTAGAAGAATTAAGAAAATTTGCGTGCGTTTTTTGGCGCTAAAGAAGTCTTCAAAACCAAATGTTCATTTATTTTGAAGTTCAACTGGCACAGATATTCCCCTTCGTTGTTTACACAGAGGTGCTCAGTGCTGGAATATCGTATATTTACTTTGGTTTCTAAGCCTTTTCCTGTGGTTAGAGCATATATGAGTTAAYTTTTGTGAATTTTGAATCCMAATTAGCCCAACTTCAAAATCACACATCTGATTGTGACGACTCCATGCAGAGATATCATCAACTTTTGTTCTCTGTTTTTTCTTAATTTTTCTGACTGACAATTGCCAGAAGCAACGCAGATGTCTTAACGATGCTAAAGCTAAAGGCATTAGCGTCTTTATAAGTGTGTATTCATGTTCATTCAAAGAATTATCCACAAAACATTTTTGTTGTTTTAAAAATGTTCCATCAGAACCAGATTGAACGCGGTCAAAACTTGGTCTAGCAAAASCCTAAAAGTTATTTWACAAACTGGATTCCACTCTGATGAATCATAAATATTTCCCAGGTTCCCTAATGTGAAAGATTTGGCATTCAAAGTGTTTAAATCTTAGAAAAGAATGCAATAAAAAACCGTTTAATAATACTTGGKATGTGATTTTCATAAATAAATTATTTCGATGCCAAAATTCAGTATAAACAGTGAAACACGCTCTGCATGACAAAAATGATAACACAATGCGGAATCTAAATGTGTTTTGATTTCGAGCCAGAAAAAACAATGCGGAAATCCAAATTAAGATTTTTTTTGTATTTTTTTGTGTGTGTTTATTAATCATTTCCCTAGGGACAATAAGCTTATATTTGTACTTGCATTTTCACCGGGATTGTGAAATGTTTTTAACAAATAAACAAACAAATCATTTAAGTCTTAAGTTTTATACGATATCGCAAGAAAACTGTATTTACGTACGTTGTTAATTTTTGAGAGATTCCAACTTGTCTAGACAGAACTAAGTGGTTTGGTTTTGCTTCATGCATATATTCACAAACACAATTCTAATTTAAGGTTCAGTTATTCAACTATGCCAATATAAGCTTAATTCATTTTTCATTGATAGTTAATAAATTTATTAATAAATGAAAGATTACAGTAAATGAAAGAAGCCTTTGGAAAATTTTATAGTTTCGCTAGAATTTTTTCTTTTTTCTGCTATAAATGTTTTATGTTTTTACTTTTCATCAGGTGTTCTTTGTATTATTCACAATCCTGTAATTTTTTTCCACCAAGAAACTACAGCAATCCACCAAAATATAGATTAGTTAATCTCATTTTTTATCAAATGCGTTTTATTTTAAGTTAATAATATCAATGGTGACTTTTTTCAGGCCATCATCAACAGCACTATATTTCCCAACATGAATTTCACCAAAACATCCCAGAAGTTTGGCCAGTGGTCTGACCCTAAGGTGAACAGTGTCTATGGATTAGGATTTCCATCTGAGGCAGAATTAAATAAGGTATATAGCCTGTTATTATCCCAATTTTGCTATTAGCCTTTGATGATTTGTGCAGCTTTTTTTATTGGCAGCTGGGTATTTTTTAAACGTTACAAGGAAAACAGATGTGTACACATATTTCTGTTTAATCATTGTTCATCTATTCACAAAATATCCATTCATTTATAAAATTTCCTTTTATTCATAAATTTGATTTTGTCAATTTTTTAATTCAATTGAAATAATAGTTTCATTTATTTGTTTCTGTTTTATTTTATTAAATCATTTTTTTCATCCATTCATTCTCTTATTTATCAATTTTCTCAAGTTTTCATTCCATCATTTGTTCACTTTTTTCTTCTTCTGTAGTTCGCAGAAATGTTCAAAGAAGCGAGAGGATCCACTTCATCTCTAGCTAACACAAGCAGACCATCAAGTGGCACATCATCACCACAAACCACTGGAATATCAACAAACACTTCTCAAATTAATGGTGTACGAGACTCCCCCACACCACAGGGAACCCATACATCATCCATGAAGAGTGGCTCTTCAACCAGCAGTAATGAGGTATTTAATTGATTAATATGCATTAATATTATCCCTAAAGCATTTCAAAATAATTAATTGGTTTTAAATTGACTGGTTTTCATTTAATCACTAATATTTACCCTTGAAAATAACAAAGTAAGAAGCAGACAAATTATCTTAAAAATTGACAAATTATCTGGCAATTTTTTTGTTTTTGTTTTTTTTTTGTTTCTCATATTGGAGTCTAACTACTTAGATTTTTAATTATTTCATTGATATATTGAAATTGATCTTGACCAATCAAAAAAGAAAGTATATTTTTAAATGTAGTTTATTCAAATTTCAATAACTTGTGCTGATGATTGGGTTTGTTAAGATAACAACAAGTTAGTAATGAATAATTAAATGCAATATTCATGCTAATACTTTTATCCTAGAGTTATATTTACATAATGTATTCAATGGTTTTTGCAAGAAAAACAAATAAATTCACTTAATACTGMTAACAAAGAAAGCTGGCTTACCATGCTATGCATGCTTAACCACAAACAAGAGAGTTACTACAATACGTTTTGAATAGCGTCTCTCAAGGCATAACTTTTAGTGAAATCCCTCTTGTTTATAACTCACAAATTGTCATTTAAATAATTCTATTGGCACTTAAAGCAGGAACTTTTAAAAACATTGAGTTATCCAGAGATTTAAACACACCAARAATGTGAGGCTCATTGACCATGCTTCGATTCGTTAGACAAAAAAGTCTAGATTCTAGCAATGTAGCAAAGCAACCAGCTGGTCAGGAACCAACAACAAGAAAAATCTCTCTTCCTGCAACGTTTAAGAGGAAAAAAAGTCTGGAATCTATCAGTGGTGTTTCTACAGCATCAGATGAAACTATTCCTGCATCTTGGTTTTTAGAACTTTTCACTGTAAGCAGTGCACTAGAGCAAAGCTGTGTTGACAGTTTTTACAGTGTTTAAGAGTTCTTTTAGTAGTGTGAAATTTAAATGATTACACCTGAAGCCTTTTTAATTTAATTTTAACTTATCACTGTTTTTGGTATTGCAGAATWTTKGAATCTAAATGAAGTTTTAGCTAGTTCAATCCTTTATATTTTGAGTTTWAAATCTCAACTTTTCACTGTTTTCAAGTTAGTTTTCATGGATTGAAATGTTTTCATGTATCACAAATATTGGTATTTGTATTAMTTAGYCCATTCTATCAGAGGGTAAAACTGGAGTTCATATGTAGGTTAAGACTGCTTTGCTTGTTTTTAGGAAGAAAGAGAAGGTATCAGCCATAAACCAGTTGGCAACACAGAAGCACAGCTGAAATATGAGAATGATAGGCTYAAGATGGCTCTTGCACAGAGGTGTGCKRTCTTTWGTTTTCTTTCATTTCTTCCCTCCYWSTGTTCTTTCAATTTCTCGTCTTGTTTCTTAATTCTTTGCATCATACAATACCTTCCTTCCTCCTTCCTTTCTTTTTCCTTTTCTCATTCACCCATGTATGTGAATATTTGCAAGATTTAATTCAACTTCACTGCAAGGTACATTAATTCAACTTCACCAAAAGAATAACCTTGAATAGTCCTATGACATTGACTTAGAAATCTTTTCATTTAGCAAATATCCACAACAAACCAACTTTCTTTCTTTCTTTCCTTAAATTTCTTCTTTTCATCCTTTGTTCCTTCCCACATTCRACTCCTCCTTCACTTTCCTTTCCATCTTTTCCTTCCTTCCTTCCTCTCACATTTAGTCCTTTCTTCTCTGTAGCTCAACAAATGCCAAGAAATGGGAAACAGAGTTACAAACATTAAAAAATAACAATGCAAGATTGACTGCAGCATTGCAGGAAAGTACTGCAAAYGTAGAGGAATGGAAGAAACAGTTGAATGCTTACAAGGAAGAAAGCTTGCGRCTGAGAAAAAAGGTTGGGTTAACAATGATGGGAAACAGTTTTATTCTAAATCCTTGCTTAGTGAATCACAATTAACTAAAGATTGATGTTGAATAGGTATGTTATATCCATATATTGATATAATACATTCATTGTTCATTCAATGTTTATTACAGGTACAGGAGATGGAGTCATCTGATGTCAATACTGACATGTTTAACAGCTTGACACAGGATAAAATGGCTTTAGAAGGCAGAATAATTCATTTAGAAAGTGTAACAAGAGAAAGAGAAGAGGTAAACAGAAGTAACCAATTAATTGTTATTTTTACAATATGAAATTATAAATTACTGAATGATAAAGATTACTTGCATCGATGTTCACTTTGCTACTTTGCAACCAGTGGTCCATAAGGCCTCCTTATGATATCTGAATGAAGTGCTAATTTCTTTCCAGTATCAAAATTTTCTCACATTGATGAGATATCATGGAAAAAATCAATATCTCCACATGATCATCTAGTATCCTCTGTAGCATTTCTTTCTACATTATCATTGGGTTCTCTACTGGAAGCCAGGTTTCTGATGGTCATATTGTAACAAAGAAGCATTGAATTTTATTTTTGCATTATAGGAGGTAGCATTGTTAAGACACACCAATACAGAACTCACTAGCCAAGTAAAGGTTAGTACATCATCTAAAAAAAATCATGATTTAGTCTGACTTATAAGAGGCAATGAAGAGGCTGGGAATTTGAAGACAAATGCTTTTCTGACAACATTGTCGAGAACAACTGTGACAAAGAGAGGACATTTTGAATTTGTATTATATTTGAGTAATCCAGTACTCATCACTGAACTTCTATTGTTGTTGTCTGTCCATCATTTTTGCAATCAGTCACATAATTTGTTCCAATCAATGCATGAAAACCCAAATATTTTATCTTTATGGAGAACTCAGTTTGGAGAGTTTTTCCAGGAGTTCTCAATAAAGATAAATTATATAAAGATTGGCTTTAACCAAACTATTTTCAACATATTCTCAGCTTATTCCTTCCTTGGGCACATCTCTATATCAAGTAAAATCATACAAATTTTTATCAACTAACACAGGTGTGYCGAGAAGAAAATGAGGGWCTCCAGAAGAAAGTACAAGAWCTTGAAGTGAAGTTATCAGAATCAAACCTCCAGGCATCTGCAGAGCAGTTAAACTCCCTTCATCAGGCAATTAAATCAAAGCTAGATGAATTAAATACATTAAATGAAAGTATCCCTACAATGGTAAAGAACTCCTGAAGAATCAAATAKAAAGATTTATTTGCAATTATTAATCCGAAATCTACAAAGCTGTTAATTATAGTTATTTTCTATAATAGTTTATAGGGATGTCTTTGTCTTCAATAGAAATAAGACACATAGTGTTTCGCATTATATCGGACGCAGGGTGCATTATTGTCAGTTTGCGGTGTGTGTCTTGGAAATGAGGCCTCTCAGGTGTCTATAAATAAGGTGTGTCTGAAAGGGTATCTGTCTTCCAAATTTACATCAGTCTAAGCATGACCTGATTTTGGGTAACAAAGAGATTGTGTGAGGTGTGAATCAAAGGGAAGTCTTAAGGGTCTTTGTTCTTGGTCAGTTAGGAGTCTTTATCTCTGGAGATGTCTGGCTTATCACAATAGAGCTCTKAGAGACTTCCTCACAGCGTACTGGCTGGCTCTTTTTGGGGGGAGGGGAGGGGGCTGGAAGAATGGTAAGAGAAAAAGGAGAAAGTTCCTCCTCCCCCCTTCCCACAAAAACTGCCAACTACTCAGCCTGTATCTGTAATTGAGAGACATCCATTGCTGTGTGTCGTGTGACAAGTTTATATCCAAACAAAATGATAGTGTTAGTGACATGGATTATTATTAATATATATATATAAATAATTATTATTAGTTATTATTAATTTGCATGTTATGTAATTATTATGATTTATGCATAAAGTCTAAATTTTGGAAACGCCATAGCCATTGTCATATAAATGGAAATTTAGTTTTCCATTGTTATGTTCAGCGTGTAATCTTCCATATTGTGAGAATGAAATGAGAGGCTATCATTATCCAATCATCATATCCAAATATTCTTATAATAATTATACAACATGTAGTTCCTTATTTGTACTAATTCCATGGCATGTAATTAAATTTCAAAATCAAAACAGGTGTATTTTGAAGGCATTAATGTTTATGCTTTTGCCTAGAAGGGCGTCAAATTTAAGGGTATTTTTCATAAAAATTATTAAAACTCACAGATAATTTGTACTAATAAGTTAGTAGCAATACATTCAAAGGGAAATTCAATGGTAGAGTAAATACCATATAACCAAGAAATACATGTCTAAAAATGTATCATCTAGTTTGCAGTAGTATATAAGAATTGTTAAACTGGCAGTGTGGTAGAGTGCAAGTGTTTGACCAGTGTGCAAGTCTCTCAGTTGTCATAGAATCAGTGAAATGTTTCATTGATATATGTATGACATGCACTCTGGGTCAATATGATTGTAGATAGGTCATAATATGAGTGTAACAATTGAGTCAAAATGCAGAAAATGTAAATATAATAATACTAAAGATTTGTTGTTGTGTAATTGTTGCAGTAAGGGCTTGATTATATGAAGTAGGCTGGCCTTGTTTCTTTTGCCTTCTTCGCCCTGGTGGGTCACAAAAAAAAAAA